TACCAAAGAATACCATCTGTACAAGCAGGTGTATAGTACTTTCGAGTAAAATAGTTCCCATCAGAGTTCATAATCGTAATAAATGGATGAACCCAGAACCTTCTTTTTCTTTTATATCTATTTAACAATAACAGCAGTGCAATAATCTTTTTGCGATCCATCTTACGCTTCCTAAAAACACGTCCAATACGGCTGACTACACTTGAAGGTATGGTTGCCCTACCAAACGGTTTGCCGCACAAAATCGTACACAGAAATTCGCATCGCAAATTCCTGCGATGCGGCATCGTATCGCATCGCATCGCAGTTTTGTGTGGGAGCCCTATTACTCACATCATTAATCATTCACTATTGACTGGGGATTTTCCTACACTTTGGAAAAAAGCATTTGTTATTCCGCTGCCCAAAATAAATAACCCCAGTTCTTTCTCTCACTTTCGCCCAATATCTATTCTCCCTTTTTTATCTAAAGTTCTTGATGCTATTGTCCACAAACAAATTTCTTGTTACATTTTCATAAATAATTTTCTTAGCACATTTCAATCTGGTTTTAGGCCTGGGCCAGTACAACCACAGCTCTTTTGAAAGTTACAGAAGATTTTCGTACTGGAATGGAGAACTCAAAATTGACTGTGTTAGTCCTAATAGATTTCTCTAACGCTTTTAACGCTGTCGATCATGATATTCTCCTAGCTGTACTTTGTCACCTGGGTTTCTCTTCGTCGGCACGGGACTGGTTCTCCTCGTATCTTCGGGGTCGTCAGCAGGCTATTCGAGTAGGTCAGATCGTCTCTGACTGGTGCTCATTGTCTGCTGACGTTCCTCAAGGCGCAATTCTCTCTCCTCTCCTGTTCTCAGTCTTTATAAATCTCATTACATCCCACATTCGCTATTCGTACCATCTGTATGCTAATGACTTCCAAATTTATGCTCAAACTGAGTTGGCAGGTATCGATGATGTGATTAAGAAGCTTAACTGCGACCTTAACAGTATTTATTATTGGTCAGACCGATTTGGTTAAACCATCAAAGTGTCAGGCTATTGTGGTTGGTAGTTCTCGTAGATTGCCTAAAATTGATATGAAGGTGCTACCTCCTATAATTTTTAATAATGTTACTATTCCTTACTCAAAACTGTTAAAGATCTTAGCCTAGTTATTGACAACACCCTCACTTGGTGATCGCATATATATGAAGTGAGCACAAAGATCACTCACACTCTGCGTTATCTGTATCGTCTCAAGAATTTTTTGCCGATAGGGACTAAGGTGATGCTAATAGAGACTCTAGTGTTGCCTATTTTAGATTATGCAGATGTTTGCTATGCTGATGCCTTTCAAGAACTTCTAAACAAACTGGATCGACATCTCTTATCATTCTCAGCTTAAATGGCTACCGGTCTCCGCTATCGCAGATATTTCAGAATACTGTGCACATTATTTTCAGTTTTACACAATCCGTTTATCCCTGAATATCTGAAATGTAAATTACAGTATCAGGGTGATTCTCATAACCGTTGTCTCCGTTCTGCGGAAAAGTCTAATCTCCATGTCCCCCTCTGTCACACTAGCTTCTTGTAAAAATCTTTTACGTCTCACGCGGTAAGATTGTGGAACGAGCTACCGAGCAGTGAGTACGTGCAGCCACAAGCAAGGCATCGTTCAAAAGCTTGCTATGGAATCATTTTCTGGCGTTGCAGGAGTAGTTTGTCGATTAACTTTTTTTATATCCTTAAATTCTAACTGTTCCCTTTTCCTGTTTTTATTTCAAATATTTTATAGGTGTTTGAATCAGAAACTGCATTAAGCATATATATGTATACATTTATATATCTTGTATGTATATCTATATAACAATATATATGTATAATTATGTTTATAACATGTAATGCAATATGTAATGACTACTTAAAGATGTTTTAACTCAGTTGCACTTTGCACCCACAATATCTTCTCTGCTTAGCCTGGAGGTAGACTGGCAGAGAATGCCTTGTTGCATTAAGTCCGCCTTTTTGTACTCGGTGTGCAAATAAAGCATAAATAAATAAATAAATAAAATTTACAGTAAATGAATCAGTGTACCTGCTGTATATGTATAATACCATCAAAAACATAACTTGTAAAAAAAAGGCAAGTCTCGCAACTCGGTTCTTCTACCGTAAAAAGTTGTGAGATGCATGTAATACCAAGTCGGTCAATTTATTCAGTCCCTACTTAAGGTTTCTTCTATTTTAAGTTATTACGTAATAAGCTAACATAACAACATCTTATAGTGATCATATCAATATTAAAAATGTTTTATAATTTAAATAAATAGCTTGACTTAGGCCATCACATGAAAACACAATGTATCTCACAAGTAATACATACGAGTGTTATATATAATTAGATTGTTTAGTGCAAATATCAAAACATAACTTGTAAAAATAACCAAGTCTCGCAACTCAGTTCTTCTACCGTAAATGTTCTGAGATCCATGTAATACCAAATCGGTCAATTAATTCAGTCCCTACTTAAGGTTTCTTCTGTTTTATCCAAAAATCAACACAAGAACATCAAAATAAAAATGGCGTATGTAATGAAAATATAATATATATTATCCATAAACTAATTGTTTTTTTATTCCACTAGAGGATAGAAAATTTCATATTGATTCTATAATGCCAAACTTCTTCATAGAAAAGTAGTCTCTAAACATAAGTATTTATGAGTTAAAGTGCTGTGGTCAAATTTGACCTCTTGAATTTTGACGGAATATTGAAGTGGTCAAATTTGGACGCTTGGCGTTTGAGAGGTTAACACAATGATTGTGGAGAGGTAAAGAGTTCCAAAAATGCACAGTTGTTACAGTAAGGAATTTCTTAAAAAAGTAGGTAGAGTGCACAGGAGTCAAGAGAGATTGACAGAGGATCGAAGAAACTGATTATGGGTAAGGGAAAGATACTGGAAATGGTCTATTAAATAATGAGGGGTGGAAGGATTATACAGCACGCCATACAATTCGGAGAAAATGAGAGTATTCCTGCGAAGGCAGATCAGGACCCATTTGAGCTGTTTGTGAAATTCAGAGATGTGATCATATTTGCGAAGCCCAAATATAAATCCAATTCATAAATTTCGAATGTGCTCAAGCTTACTAAGATGCTCCTTGGTAATATCAAAATAACAAATATCAGCATAGTCAAAGATAGGCAGAACTAGAGACTAGGCGAGCATAACTTTAGATACTGTAGATAGAAAATTATGTAATCTATGTAAAGATCTTAATGCAGCAAACATTTTTCTACTAACCTCATTAACCTGTGAGGTTGAAGACATAAAGAAGCTGATATAAAACATAAGGTTTGTAACTTTACTGTAAGGGATTTGAGTGCAGCCTAGTATAATAGGAGGTAGGGAACACCAGTCAATTTTTCCAATTAATCTAGAGCTACCAATGATAATGGCATGAATTTTCTTAGAATTAATTTTAAACCATAACATTTACTCCAGTTCGAAATACAAGGCAGATCAGAATGAATAGTGTCAACTACTTTAGACAAACCTTCAACAGAGGACTGAATATAGATTTGGAGATCATCAGCATACAAGTGGTAGGAAGAGGACAAGTTATGACTTAGAGTTAATAAAAATTGCAAACAGGAGAGGACACAACACGCCAACTTGTGGTACACCAGCCGCTGTAGTAATCCAGGTGGAAAAAACATCTTGCACCAGAATGTTATGTTGGCAACCAAACAAGTAACTTCGAAACCAGTCAATTACAGTTAGAGATATGTTGGGAGAGCTCAGGATGCATAACAAGATATCAAAATCTACAGTATTAAATGCATTACTAAAATCTAGCAATGTAAGAATGGTAAGCTTTTGTTTTTCTATACCATACCGAATATCATCGGTGATTTGAAAATAGCAGTAGCCATACTAGCCAGGATGGAAACCGGATTGCAAAGGATTTAAAAGATTATGTTTTAAAAAATAAGTGCTTAAATGATTGTGGACAAGACATTCTAGAACTTTGGAAAGGAAAGGCAAAATAGAGATAGGTCTATAATCAAAAAAACTAGAGGCATTTGACTTTTTCAAAAGAGGGACTACAAATGCATCTTTCCAAGCTGAATGGGGAAAGCAAAATTCAGTGAATCAATCAGTATTAAATTAGAGATATTATACTTAATATACAACAGTCTCATTTGTGTATATTATTAGGATGTTCTTAAATAAAAAACGAATATTCTATGATCAGAAGTTAAGGTCAAGTAAAGTATTATTATCAATTTCATTAAACTTTAAACTACATACTTAAAATTTACCATAAAATATTTCAGGGTCCAGAACAGCACAAGTTAAAATGGAAAGTTTATAATACTATTGATATGATAGAAATGATAGAAACATACACCTTAATATATTTTCTCCTCATCTTCAATCTGTACATTATTGAACATCTGTATCAACCAGTAATGTTCACCTCTTGACATGGACATCTTGCTCATGGCAAAAATAATAGAAAACATGAAGATTCAACATTGTGGCAGGTGCTACAAGTAAATTATACTCAGACAAATTCATGTGCATAGTAAGCGATTGTGACACTATTAATATATTAGTAAAACACCCTGATAGAGCAGTGGCATAATTTGCATTATAGGCTTAAAGCATGTGTTTGTGTTGCCTCCTATATCCTAATACGAAAGTAAATTTTTCAAAGTACTTTGAGCAGACTTCAAGGACTATGACATGAATTTAAGATATTTAAGTAGAAGCATTTGATTATTAAACAAAGCAATCAAATATTTGCTATAGTTACAGAAATTATTTAAAAAAATTCCTTATATCTAAGTTATAACAAAAAAATCACATTACACTTTTAATTTTTTTAATAAAAACAGAAATACATACAATATTCTTTTGTGGTAACATCAGCATTCTTTTCTTAACATATCTTCAATGTGTTTATAATACACAATTAAAGCAACTGCTTCAACTTTCAACTTCAACTCATACAAGTTGTACTTTCCCATTTTTAACTAAATCAGCTATTGGTTTGTATTGTAAAATATGTTGTGAACCCTCTGAAATTAGTTTTTCATATATCATTAAGATTTTTTTATGTGTAAGTAATATAATAAATGTAAATGAAATACTAACCTTCTAAATCTATTTCTTCATCTTGGTCACCTGATAAGTCCTCTAATACAATTCCTGTAACTGTCTCATTGGCTTTTAGAAATACATGAGATTGTAAATTGGGATAAATGACTAATTTATTTAAGTCAAATGTTTGCATATTGCCTGGAACTTGATTTAAAGCTGTTGTTTTTAAGTGATTTTCCATGTTTAATAAATATTCTTGTGCGTATTTGTACTCAGAGTGTGTTAAATAATTAGTGCCCGACTCCAGTCGTTGTTTTTCATCATTTAATATAGAAATGCAATACTTTTCTATTTTGTATAGTCTAGTTTTAAGATAATTACAAATGATAAATTTTATTCTGTTTAACTCCATTTTATGGATTGAAGCCCGAAAGTCAGTTTTAGGTAGTTTATTAATATTTCGCTCCATGTGTTGTATTTGTCCTAACATACATTCAACCATATCATTTTGATGTGGAAGGATTTCTGGCGCCAAGCGTTCGTTTTGCCAGGCATTTTGCAAAGTTCTAAGTACAGTTTGTGCCGTGATTTCTTCTTCATCACTTAATTCTATACCGTCGTTATCCATTATTTTATCTATTTATTCATTGAAATTATTTTAACTACTACCTATTTAACACATCATAATCAGTTTAATTTAAACTACGAGACCACGACACGACATGGAAATGGAATCTCAAAACAAAAAATTAGCCTAGAGATGTTCGATGATCACCGATGTAAAAATTAAAACATCGATGTTTTAACATCGATGCTGCCACATGTCAAACATCGAAACATCGATTTCAGTGAACCCATAATCGAAGAATAGGAACTTGTGAACAATACGAACCCACGAAATCAGTATCAACTAAATCTTGCATCTTCTATTAAAGGTTTAAAATTTTGAATAATTCAGAATTCCTAAACGCATCGATCACTTAAAAAATATCATTATGGTATGTCAAACTTAACTGTCAAGTCAAGTCACTTAAGTGAGAACTGTTATGTCACAGTCAGTTTTTCACATAGAGATATAATACCTATGGAGGCGGCGTATTCTACTATAGAAATAATAGTTATACAAATATCTATATATCGACACACACTTGTCAAAAATACTTTTGTAGCTTCATTAGAAAAGGGAGACATCAACAGTTTGTCAACTGCTTATTTTGACGTCATTAGCTCATCCATGCGTGATTGTGTCACCATGTTAAGCGCTGAGTTTTGTGGTAGATCTGCTGTCAAACTGTTGAATGCTAAAAGTTTTTTGTTGTGTAGTGCAGTGCCTTCATCGTATCTTATAGTAGGTGTTTTTCTTCTATTTATATTTTATTATGACAAATAAGTGTCTTACAGTTTATTTCAAGTGTTATGGTAGGGATGTATTTTTTAATTATTACTTTATGTAAGATGCATAATTTTGTAATTTATTTAGCCAATAAAAATACTGCTAAGAAGTTTTGTAATTATTAAAAATCACAGTATATGTATGTTTGTCGCTACTATTTAGGGGAGAAAAAACAAAAACTTTCAGGAGTGGTCTTTAGTATGCCTCTATTAGAGTCGTTATTTAAATTATTAAAAAACCTTATCAATTGCTGTATTAGAATATATAGCGGGATTTGTGGCAGAAAAAGGTTCAGATACCATGCAAGAAGAAGCAGTGACAAACTGTCTTACAGAAATTATATTAAAAAATAATATTGTTCAGAAATGAACAAATAATAATAATAATAATAGTTTATGTAAAAAATCTATCATGATCATAAAACGGTGCATGAAATATGATATTCAGGATGTTATCCTGCATATCATATTTCGTGATCATGCCAGATTTTCGAATTTTTAGAAATTTGATAATATTTTTCATTTAAAATCCGAATGAATAAATAAAATATGATCTTGTATAACTTACTATTTGTGATGAATTATGTGCAGGAAAATTAATAATAAATAAGTATTGATTTTTAAAACAGTTTATTTCATTTTTACTCAACTAATCATTATTATTTTACATTAATAATATGGGATCTGGGATCACCATCTCAGTAATACTTTCAACACAAAAGAAGGATTTAATTTCTATCTACACAAAAGCCATAAATCAGTCAGTCACATTTATTCGGCAGATTAGTTATTTGACGATTGAAAATTCAGCCCTGTATCTATGTAAATACCTACGGAATAAAGTAAATTTAGCAACAAATCCAACTATATAAAATGAGAAAAAAATTCATATCAGTTAAAATATCGATATCAGCTGCGTATATTGCAGCGTTACAACCCTATAAAAGGCGGCCATTTTATGCGCCAGATTTTTGTAGGTAGTCACGCTAATTTTGTAGGTATGCCCAGTCCATATACTTCTAAGTCAGTGGTTTTTCACTGCTTTCGCTTTCTTATTCTGTTGTGTTGTTGCTCGTTGTCGGTTGTCGCCTCATAACTATTCTACGTAAATTGATTTTACTGATTTTATTATTTAATTTCACTGCATAGTGCATTCGACTGTGTGACTGTCTCAGTGCATACTTGCTGCTTGGGCTGCCTAATTAAAAATTGTGAACAGAGGTGACGGGAAGTCTATTATTTAGTTTAGGTGTTGTTTGTTAATTTTTTGTCTATAGTAATTATATTTTATATTTCGCGATAGGAGTAGTAGATATAAAAACTACGTCAAAATCGTGAAAAAGGTCCCATAGCAAATTTTTTCATACATTATTTGTGAGTGTGAGAACATTTAAAGATCAAAATAATTACATTCATCTTCATCGGCAAAAATATTGTACTATATTATAACAAATGAACTAGATATTTGTTATCTTCTCATTTTTTTAAATCACCGTTTTGTGAACACGGGAACGCAACAAACACCGAGATCGAGTTGAGACTAATTTATTCATATTTACCCTCCATTATTACAATAATCTCTTACATCTCCCTTCTCAATAATAAGAAACAAAATCAAAATAGTAATTTACTCTTGCATATTTTTGTCACAAAAATAGTAAGATCATTTCTCATCATTATATCTCTCTAACTACTCATCTTCCCCTATCTTAGAAATAAGAAAAATCAATTATGAAATCAATAGCACTAAAATAAAATTTAAGTATGAAATGTTTATTTATTTAAATAAATTAAATTATTACTTATCCGTTTTTGTAATTAATCAATTCCTTTTTATTAATAAGTAATACTTATTTTGTTTTTGAAGTAATAAACTAATTACATTTCATTTCTATAGTAATAAATCTAAAGTAATGTACTAATTCACACAAATTAAAGTCCCGTCGGGAATCGAACCTGGGACCTTTGGCGTGATAAATGTGCATATTGTGCTGCTTAACCAAATATATATAAAAAAACTATCATGTATGATTTTGATAGTGTTTAAATTTTTTTAGATACTTTTATTTTCGTTATTTGTGCATACGTTCCAATTTATAGTTTTGTTTTCACTGAACACGGTGACTGTGGCGACGCGCCGACGCAGCTGCGCAGCTGTTCATCACCGCTATTCAGTGTTCGAAGCCCAATCTATCCGCTGGCCTCACTGTCCTGCCGGAACGTGTGACATAATAATTATTGTTATTTATTGCATTAGGTGAGGCCAGAACTCTGATACCGCATCTAGAGTACTGAAATACCTAGCGCCGGAAAGTTTTGATACAATCTCGTAGAGTGACGGCAATCTAAAATATTTTCTTTTGATCGCGCTATTTAATTCCTTTTGATCAAGACAAATCGGTATGTCTCCGTTAGCTTTTTTAATACTACTTACCCAATCCGATGGGCCCTCTACTTTGGCTATAATGCCTTGTTTCTCCATCTCTTCCAATTTCATCTTAAGGTTATCTCTTATCGCGGACGGTAGTTTCCTAGGAGCATGAACAACCGGTAAAATATTTTCATTTAATTATTTCGTTATTCTATATTTCCCCGGTAAGCATCCTATACCCTGAAAAACGTCGTTATAGTGCCCTAAAAATGAGGAAACTCCTTTATCCTCCTGTATCGTCATCACACGCCTCACCATATCCAACTCACTGCACGCAAACCTGCCCAAGACCGGCATAGACTTAACTATTGCTATTTTAAATTCTAGCATGCACATTTTACTTTTGTAATAAACTTTTAAAGTGATTTTTCCTACTACTTTTATGGCGGCACTCGAGTAGCCAGACAACTTGGTATTTGTTTTTATCAAATCTTTATCCGAGACCCCAATTTGTGGCTAATAATACAACGGCAATATATTAACATCTGCCCCAGTATCTAATTTAAAGTTGACAGACTTATTATTTATCATCAGGTTAACATTCCACTCACTACTAGATTTTACAGTATGTATTACCTGCTCATCAGACTCCTCGACATTGAATACACTAGCACCACAAATTCTGGCAAAGTGGTTCATTTTCGCACATCTTAGACACTGCGTGCGGGCACTCAAACTTTTTATGTACACTGCCACAATGCCCACATTGCTTCATCCAAGACGTCGAATCCGTGGAGGAACGTTCACCACGAACGCGCGGCGACGGGCGCTGGGCCAGGTGGGTTGTGCACGCCGCGTACGCTGCGCACGCCGCCGTCCACCTCTGCGCGCATCCCTGCTTACGCCACCTGCGCCGCCGCGATATCCTCTCCTTGAATCCATCCGGTGCCGCACACTCCAAATATTCTCATCATTTTCCACCACTTGATTATTATTGATAAAACATGCTGATAACTGCTCCTGTTTAATGTTATCCGCATACACCCTCGATACTATTGCGACTCGACATATACCTTATGTTATACTTAAAGTAAGATCGTCCTCCCTTAGTAGCCGTTCCCGAATAGCTAAATTGGATACGCCACATATCAGCCTATCTTTTATAAGACCGTCGTTTAGAGCCCCGAACTCGCATGTTTGGACCAATTTCTGCAAGTCGAAAACATATTGTTCTATGGTCTCATTTTCCTTCTGGTTTCTTGTAAAAAATCGGTGTCTTTCCACTGTAACATTAGGTTTTATATTAAAATGTCCATCCAATATTTGTAACACAGCTTCCGCAGTAGTGCATTTTAAAAGTGAATCATTGTTTTGGTCTAGAATATCTCGGCACTGATCACCAAGTACGTGCAATAATATATTAATCTGTACGCTCGCCGCTTTATTCGTTATCTCACATGCCTTTGTATAAATTTCAAAGCTGTCCCTCCATTTTGTCCAACTGCCACTTAAACTTTCGTAGTCTGAGCTCCCGTCGAACCAAAATGGTTTTGGTGGACTTAAGACACCTTCCATAATTATTAAACGTTATAAAACTAAACACTACTCAAATTAACTTGTAATATACTTAATAAACTTATTTATCCTACCGGCTGCGCCATGTGAACACGGGCACGCAACAATCAAACACCGAGATCGAGTTGAGACTGATTTATTCATATTTACCCTCCACTATTACAATAATCTCTTACACGTTTGACACTTAAACTTTATTTATATCTTTTATTTCATTAATAATAAACCATAAACAACATGACTATTTTTTTTATTCATCTAATTCTATGAGGTATATATTATAATGTACA